AGAGAGAGAGAGAGAGGAGGAGGAGAAAAAATACAGAGAAAAAAGAAACAAAAAGAGAAGGATGGAAAAACTAGGGGAGATAATGACTAAGAAAAGAAAAAGAGAGAAGAAAACACATAAAAACAAGTAGGAAGAAGGAAAGCAAGAGGAGAGAAGAGAAAAGTAGTTGAGGAAATATATAGGAGTAGCAAGACAAACAACAAAGACAAGAAAGAAACAAAAATAGATGGATTATAATAAAATATTACTTTGTTTCAAAGAAATGTTCTTTGCTGCTGTCGTCCCATTGAATCTTTCCTTTGAATGATTTCAGTATATCCAAATATTCAGAGGCAATAATTGTCCTGCCACCCTCTGGTGTATAATTGTAACCATAGAAATTAATACCTAATAAAATTTGAGATCGTCTAGAATCATCTTTTTCTGGTGTTAATAATTCTACACATTGTCTGACCCAGTCAAGAGGACTATTTGGACCCGGTCTTTGAATACTCGAATAATCATAAGTCATAAGTGAAAAGGCTTTTACATACGGTGCTAGTTCATCAAACTGTTGCTTTGAAAACAATTCAATTTGTACACTAAAAAAAAAGAAGATTTAAATAAATAAAAATCTTAAATTTATACTCTATATATGTATGTTTCAAGAAATATCAAGTACCCTCTAGATGGTGGTATTGCTAATATAATATCTAAATTATGCTTCTTCAATTTTTGTGCAATAGATTTGACCATAGAAGTAACAACTTGTAGGTTTGAACCTGCAAATACAAACTGATTCCATATTTCTAAGACATATCCGTCAAAGTGGAAAGTCTGAAAATATAAGGTTTTTATGTACCATATTTTAATAAATAATGAACAGTTAATAATATACAGGGTGTATCATTTTAATTGACTGAGGCAAATATCTAGAAAAATATAAGATACAAAAAATATTTCAGACAAAAGTTGTTTGGTTCAAACTTTATTTAAGATGATGCCATTGATGTGATCTTAGTCGTTTGAAGGACACATGAAAGTTACTTCCACTTTCTTACAATAAATAAAAACCTCTCTTTTTTGTTGTCATAGTCTTGTATTAATTAAGCAACTTTTGTCTAAAATATTTTTATTTATTGTCTATTTATTTTATTTAAATTAATAGTTTTAAATAAGGCTTTGATAAACACAAATTAAAATTGAAAATGTGATGGTCGTTAAGGTAATACAAGAATGAGAAAAAGAATATTTTATTTACTTCGATGATTGCCAGAGTGGAAAATAATAATGGCTTTTTCATTTAACTTAAGGCTAAATCCTGATTGTTTCTCGTAAATAATTTAATAGGAAAAATAGTATCATGTGCCGTTGGCTTTAGTTTCAAGAATATGTTGTTACAATAGTGTCTCAACTTCTGTAAACACTTGTAGCATATAGGAACTGATATATCATATAATGTTGGCAGAACATCAGCAGGAAGATAATAATGCTTGATATCATGTTTAGACAGGAGGTTGGCAACAGAAATCAAACAGATACTGCTCACGTAATATGGTGACAGATTGCAGCAGAAACCGAGCAGAACCTGCTGACATAACTTGTCGGTAGATTGATAACGAACTCTGTTGTTTGCTGACAATTTACATTGTAACGATCCCGCTAGATGGATGTATGGTATGACACTTTCTCGTAAGAGGAAAACCATAGGCGGTATTATAAATTAGCACATCCACATGAGATTCTTTCATCATCTTTCTGGTACTGAAGTGGACTCTCTTATCTGTGAGTGTGTAGAAACCTTACAGGAAACTTTGCTATTTATTAGTTTTATTTATTTATTGTAATAATAGGAATGAAAATAGAAATGGTGATTCTGCTCAGTTTCTACTGTCAATCTGCCATTAAAGTACGCCGCGCAAATCCTGCTCGATTTCTCTTATCAATCTGATGTCAAACTGCGCTATGCAGATCCTCCTCGGTTTCTCTTATCAATCTGCTGTCAAACTGTGCCGCGCAGATTCTGCTCGGTTTCTACTGACAATTTGTTGACAGGGTATGTTTTATAGACTCTGTTGCCAAAACAAAGGCCAAATGGAGACACCGATGGGTATAGATTTGGTGTGGGTTACTGATTGAATATGCTGCCAAACTGATACCAATCTGCTAACATTTTGCTGACTGGATATTTTTTGCAATAAAATTTCCGCCAGTTATGATCGAATATTACTAGTTATTTAATCACTGGTAAAGAAAATATTACTCAAATTTATTACACACTCTCGACTGAAAGAAAGGGTTAGGGCAGGATGGAGAGATTGGAATACTATAGGATATTAAAATTGCAGATCGATTATTTCTGTGTCTTATCCGACAAACCAAGTGTGTATGTGCGTGTGCGTGTATGTGTGTGTACGTATATACATATGTGCATATGTGTTATATAAAACAATTATATATATATACCTTGGCAGTATCTAAGAGAGATACTATTAATTGAGTTTGACGCTCTCTATTACTATATATCTTAATGATATCATCAATTGACCAGTGTTCAAATAATACCCTAGGTATAACTAAAAATAGTATTATATAATAATATAACATCAGTATAGAAGTAGAGTCATACTTGAATTATTTACAACTTACGCTTTACAGTATGATTGACATTGTTATTGGCTCTCATTTCCTTTATCCACTTAGTCTGAACAGAATGAGTGGACAATTGATAGGTTGATGTGTTACCAAAAGGAAAGGTTAACCATACTGGAGATATCATTGTAAACTTGCCATGAAATCTTTTGGAAATCTCAAAACCGTTTCCATTCCACTATAAAAGTAAAATTGAAATATACTCAAAGAAAATGCATTATTCGATTTATGATTTATACACAGGTAGGCAGTGTTAGAATAACTTTATAACGACTCACAGGTGTGCAATATCCCAGGATATCTCCTTTAAATCTTCTGTCCTGAGTATTTTGAAAATATCGACCAGATTCAAAAAGAATGTCCTGTTGTTTAGGATTTTTCAATACCAAATTCCTTTCAAAAACATCTTGATCCACTGGACCCTTATACAATTTATAAAATTTGTAAAATAAGAAACTGTTTATTTATATATTATATATACATACATACAGGATAAGGCATTTAATTTGACAAACCGAAAAACTCAAAAATAAATAATTTTAGAGAAAAATGTTTCAAACAATAATGGTTTGGTTCGACATAATATGATGTTATTGGTTTGATCTTGGATGGACGTTTGAAGGTGATATAAATGTAAAATAAAAACCTCGAGGTGTTTCTCTATTCCATTTAAATAAAACAATTAAATTACATGCAATTTAATATAGTTTGTTAACAACACATACAATTTACAGAGAATTTATACATGCATGCACGCATATAGGTACATGTAAATAGAGATACAATATTTCCTTAGATACTTACATTAGAAATATTGTTATGCTTTCCTCGCTCTTTCTTATTCTTTCCTGTCGGTGGTAAGAGAGTACCGGAACATAATTCAATAAGAAATAAAACGGTGAGTAGAATAATCGCCTTCATACTTATACCGAATAAGAATTACATATTATATATTAGGTTAGATTTAAATATGATAGGAGTGACGACTGCATTGACTGAACTCCGAATTGATATCGGAGACCTCATGCAGTAACAACGCGAAACTTTTGTGTCAGGGTTACCAATCTGAGATAAATATATAGTCTCTATGTATTTACATACGGTGCGTTCCGAATTAGTACATTTCTAGTTACAAAAATTGGTACCATTGTAACTAACTTGCGTAGGTTTTGTTCGCGAAAGCAACACGACGCGACTTTGGTCCTATGGACTTTGTTGGCCATAGGACATTAAGGCTGGATTCACATGGAGCGTAACTTGCGTAGCGTAACCTGCGTATCACCAATCACAGGGTCATTCTGAGGGTGGAGTCCCATGGAGCGGAATACGCGGAAGCGGAATCAGCGGATCGCCAATCGCAAGATTATTCTGATAGAGCCCTTTCAAAAATTCCGTCGAAACGGTCTTGTGATTGGCGATCCGCTGATTCCGCTTCCGCGTATTCCGCTCCATGGGACTCCACCCTCATAGAACCGTTTCAATAATTCAGTTGAAATAGTTCCGTGATTGGTGATACGCAGGTTACGCTTACGCAAGTTACGCTCCATGTGAATCCAGCCTAAAGCGTAGTTCATAAGTGCGCGCGCGAATCGAGCGCTGTGCTCGAGCGACTGTATGTACGTGGTTGGATGGCGTGCTAACAAAGAAAAAGGCAGTTAGTTGAGTAGTAGCAAGCAGCGATACAAGACGTTTGTAAAATCTGTATCCGCATCAGAATAAACCATCGCATATATCTTGGAACGAGTGCCTGTATCATTACGAACAGACTTTTGCTTCATCACTTACCGCTTTTTAAGAAAAA